TTCTCTGTACCTGTATTAATTCGTACCTGTACCGGTATGAGAATAATAGTAATAATAATAATAATAATAATAATAATAATAATAATAATAATAAATAATAATAATAATAATAATAATACTGTCCTTCGCTCTACTTTGAGCAACCAACTTATGTATTCACAGCACTAGATCTAAGTGGAGAGGGATGACTATCGAGGATGGGTTAGGCGTCAACCCATCTCTATTCTCTTACTAAAATAACAATGACTTAATTAACCTTTCCTACTAACTTAATTTTACCAATTCTAATACTTTATTGTTGATGTTCCTGTTGTCTGTTTGTTTTAATGATAATAATAATAATAATAATAATAATAATAATAATAATAATAATAATAATAATAATAATAATAATAATAATAATAAACTTGAATCGATGCTACAAAACATAATCAGCAATGAATAAAAGTCTGGATAGTGCAATGAAAAGCCCAACAGCATGTTGCCTAGTGTATGTTGGGTTTAATGTAATAATGACAAAATGGTACTATCTACAACCATCTAGCACCATCCCTAGATCTACTACTCAAACTGTGTAGCTCCACATGTAGGCTTTGCTTGATATAAAAACTCTTCTGAATTGTGGGCAAAGGTTGCCATATCCTATGAATGCAATGAACTTTAATGTCATTAGGTCATGACAACAGAACATAACCCAATACCAGTAAAAGTATTATTTGGTACTTTGTTTATATAACAAAAATGAGTCAATTTGCACCAGTTTATAAAGCATAAAACTGCAAAACAAAACAGTGCAAAAAAAACAATGTGTTTCCTTTTTAAAATAGTTATTTTGTAAATACAATCTGCAGAACAGCAGCAAAATGGCATCAAGCAAGCCAGCAAAAATGTTCCCTGTTGTTTTAGGTTTGTATTCATTTATAGATGTGTGTGTTTACTTTATCATTAGATATTAGCAAATTAAATGAGATTGTACAGATATTGAAACAATACAGGTTTCCTGAGGCAAAATGGTTTGAGTTTGGATTGAATCTTGGTCTCCTTTATCCTACACTGGAAGCTATTGAAGCTAATCATAGAGGAAATACTTCACGTTGTCTCATGGAGTGTTTATCCAAGTGGCTGAGTAAAGCTGATGAAAATGTGTATCCTCCTACTTGGCAGACATTGGCTAGTGCTCTTAGAAAGATAAAAGAAAATGCAGTTGCTGAGAAAATAAGTAAAGTCAATTCTAATTCAATATAATGTATTGTAATACTCCTTTCCCAGTGGTTAGCCAGCTACTACAGCATTACAGTAGTAGAATATCTGGAGCAACACTCTCTGAAGAATCAGTTCATCTGTTACATACAGAAGGACTGATATCTGAAGAGACATTGAGGGAAGTGAAGAATTGTGGATACACACTAACAGATGATGCAATGAGAGAAATATACACAGCAGTAGCTTATGATCATAACAAATTGAAATCATTTGCTAGTATATTATTAAGATCATCAGGCACTGTTAATATAGCCATTGACTTAATGAGAGACTGTGGTAAGAAACAATAATG